AAATTCGTAATCAGATGCATATGACAGGTAATAATTTATGGTTTCATGGCAATCTTATTGGTTCTTCTACTGTTGTCTGTAACTTGGATAATGTCAGGATAAGTGAATAATATGAAAAAGTGTGAATGTGTTAAATTATTCTGTTTCTGCAATATATCACTGTGTTAGATGGGGAAATGTTAATTTATAGAACAAATCGGCTCACTAAAATGCACCATAAATTGTATTATATTTTGTTTATGTTGAAATGTATTCTTTTTTCTTTACAGTTATAGAAAAACAATTTTCAGTCATAAAGCATAATAGAGCTGCATATAAATCATTTTTTAGGTTGTGAGGAAGAGGTGGTGATGGATATGTTTTTTTGGTTTAATGCTTGGTCTTCGATATATGAAGACTTTTTAATTAGATCTCATATCATCTGACAATTCTTATGTTGTTTAAGACTAGTATTGTTTTCTTGTAGCTTTACAGAATCTTCAATGGTTTCCTCTTTTTCCAGCATTTTCTGATATCCAGGAATCTTTTCAGTTTTAGTCACAAACTTCTTAGCTGCTTTTAGAGGTTCTATAAAACATACCAGCCATTACTATCTTTAAATTTTATAATAAACTAATTTATCCATCAGAGAAGTTCAACTAGAGTAAAGTTACATGTATACAGTAGCTAAAGTCAATGACTGAACACACTGAACAGCAGTTTACCCATTTTTAATATTTACTTGGTTCTTTGGCAGCCCTTCCCTGTTCATGAAAATGGATTTGTTGTAGATAAATTAACATAAAGGCAATTGCAATACAGCAAAAATTGTCTACACAAGACAGTATTTTAAATACAGCTTTAAAAAACACATATAAATATATACTTCCTGAAAATGAAGTCTGAATAGTTAGTTAATGGCAAATTCATAGGATGCTCAATAGCTTGAAAATTCTTAAATTTGTAAAAAAACACTGGCCTTTAGGTGTTACAATAGTGATTCTTTTTGTTTCTATAATATTTTCAATGACCATCATATTTTACATGGTTCTCACAAACCAAACCATGTAATATTTAATGATCATATTACTTCAACTTTCCAACAGGGCTACAGGTGCACTTGTACCTGATCAGCTGCTGAGCATACACCATAAGTTACAAAGCCAACAAAGCAGATTCACATTCATATTGTTACTGAGACCACTCTCACATTGTTGCACACATTAACATTGTTGTATGTCCTTGTGGTTTTGCCAAATACTTGCATTCTATTGATTTTAAATATTGTTACAGTTTATAGTCAATTATATTTGTCATGAGACAATAGTATTAGGTTTTATTACTTTGTGAACAAAATTTATGCAATACAATTGTTTTTTCCACTCCCCCTCCCCCAAACAAAACTTTTTTAATATTTATGTTTTGGCCATAATACATAAGGCCACCTTTTTTTTTCTTGGAATAAGAACCAATCACTGGAATTTTTAGGGTAGAAGGAGGGAATAAAAAAAATGCCAATCTTGTGTCTTACACTTATTATGCTTATCTAAAAACAAAAAATGAAGACTACATTTTCATGAGTAACTTTAGTTGCATTACAACAACACAAGTAAAACTTATTGCACATGCAATACAAAATGACTAGTATCTGTCTTTTTACATACCAAAATAAACATCCTCTGGGCACCATATTTAAAATTGTAAAGGTGAAATGTTTCTCAGTTATGTATTGTTAGGTTAAGTCGGCACCTTGAACTTTTTTACCACTCGTATAGCAACTGCTACATATTGGTTGCACAATTCCATTTTGAGTTTTAAGGATTCTAATCTCTTCATTGTCTCCCATTGGGGTAGTTTTTGTGTTGTTTTTGGTAGTCTTTGTACCCAGTAATACCAAATTGTTTCAGAATGATAATCAATCTCAATGCGAACTTTGAGTGGAATGGATCAATATACCACAACACATCAGTAAGAGTTGTGACAACTTTAGTTGTGAGCTGTCACTGTGATAGAAAAAATCCAACCCCATTGTGTCTCAATATATTTAGCACATTGTGGCACATCCTGTCTTTTGCATATTGGTCTCTTCTCTGCAACAAGGCAAAGTATCATGAATTATGATCATTGAGCAAATTCGCTCCTTTTAAAATTTAACACAAACATGCATTAAGATTTTTCTGTGATTATATCATGTTTTAATGACAAATAAATGAACCAGAGGCTATGGATAAAAATATTACAGACCTACAAAATTGTATTTTTGTATAAACCAGTATACTTATAAATTATGATTGGAAATGATTGTAAGATTTTTCGGCACACAGCAAAACATAATATCCATGTAGGTCTACATCCATCAAAAAAAGGCCTAATGTAGAATTTGTGGAAATCAAGTGTCACAGGGATGGATAAAATTCAAACATGGCCAACCAAACACCTGAAGAAGTGCCTGGTCCACATTGGTCTGCCTCCCAGAAAGGTTTTTTACTGGAGATAGTGCAAAGGATGACCACAAAACACAATATTTAAAAACCTGAAAGCATGAGCCAAAGAAGTGAGCAGTCACTTCCCTAGTGTTGGCTTTTTCCATGATAGTCCCTGGAACATATGGCCTGGATTGGACAATTTAGTAACATACTGTATACTATAAGGAAACCTTTAGTAGTCTTGTGGAGTACCCCATCCAGACAGTGGATACTGGTATAGCCTGACCTGATGCAGATTTTGGGAAATAAGCATACCCTGGTAGAATCCTGTTAGATGGAGAAGGAGAGAAAAAGAAAACATATTCACTCATCTCAAGGATGGTGGGCCAAGACTGGCAACCAGGGATGAATCAAACTCCTGTGGGAGGCAAAACAATCCAACAATGAAGATAATGAGAAATGAACATTGAACTTACCACATGCCTGCATGGAGGATCTTGTCCAAGGGCTGGTGAAAAGGAGAAACAAGAGAGTGAGATAGGAGAAAGATAAGAAACAAGGGAAGAGCATGAGGACAGAGGATAGAATATGTCAGCCCAGGTCCCTAGTGAAACCCAAACACCATCTAGGACTTCCATGCGAAGAAAGGAAGATCAATAAAGATCACCAAGACATGAAGTAAGGGAGGCATACATTAGTGAGGAGTGCATCCTGGCTCAAGAAGTCCCAACAACAGAGGAATCAAGTAAGGAAGGACAAAAAAGAAGTGATAATGGCCAAGATGGTAAGGAGACTGGTATAAATCTCTCTTGTCTCAGACAAGAGGTGGAGGGAGGAGAGGGAATGTAGGAGGTTAGTGAGAAAAAGATCAAGATGTGAAACATGAAACGAGAGAGCAAAATAGAGTATATGTAGTCTACATCCTAAGCAGACAAAAGAGATTCCAAAGATGGGAATTTTGAAAAGGAAAAGAAAAAATGTCTAGAAATCAGGGCAAGAGATAAAAATGCAAGGAGGATGAGGTATGTGGATACAAGTGTAGAATTGTTCGAGAAAAGGAAGAAGCGTGAATCCTAATATTAGGCAAGGGATGAAAGACAAATTAATCCCAAGAACAGGTTTCATGGAGTTCAAGAAAAGTAAGGATTAAGAGACACAGGCTAGAGAGAAAGAAAGGAACACACCTGAGAAATTATATGAAGAGAGAAAGTGGAAGGGTGAGGATGAGGATTTACCTCAACTGGGAAGGCAGTACTGAAAGCAAACCCAGGTGGGGGAACAGTCAGTGGAATTCATTGTCCTCCTGGTCATTCACAAACTAAACAGAAAAGACATCAGCCACAACAACATGAAAAGGAGATCCAGTATTCATAAGGGAACCCACAAGATGCAGTACAATTGCTGTAATGTTCTCAAGAGTTAACATGCCTCCAGAAGCCAAAGTAGAAATAGGTTATGTGTTTGTAACTCAGTTTTTGTCACATGATGATGGTTTATAAAATTTGAAAATAATGTGATTGCTGAAACTTGAATAAACATACAATCCCAAAATTTTATATATATACTTAAATAATTAGTAGTTTACTACTTTACAGCCATCTATATAGGAAATATTGTTCCCACTTGGTTACGTGACATAAATAGCTTTCAAACACTATACTTAAACACATACAAGTAATTAAACACCAAAATACTTTTTTTTCATTGTTAAGCATCTAGACCTAACACTAGGCTTTATTTTTGTGGATTTTATTTATTTATCATCAAGAAAATTTCTCCAGTGGGTACATGTTTAAACATTAATCCATTTTCTTTTCTGAAATACAATACAATTAGTTCTTAGTTATTTCTAGTTGTGTCATCAACAGTGGCGTATTTAACATTGGTGCAATCGGGGCAATGCATTGACGGGTCCCCTAAGAAAATTGCACTGAGTAGTTTGAAGTGTTAAAAATACCACTGGTCATCAAAGTATTTACTTTCATATTCTAGTTATCTTAAACTTTACAATCAAAAAGTGATTTAATACTGTACACAAAATATCCAATTTCCATAAAAATACACACATATAAATTAACAAAATAATAAATATGATGTTCGCTTACCACCATTTTTGTTCATGACTTCTTCTAGTCGTAACTTTAGCCTCATCACTTCACTTTTTAAGCCTTCTGTTTGACGTTCTGCTTGATATAAACTTCGCTGGCATTGTAGAAGTTTGTCACTTTCAGCAACTTTAAGCATTCTACTCAGCTGGAGTTCTTTTTCAAGCTTGCATACTTCTTGCCTAAAATATTTTATACATAAATGTACATATTTTGATACTTAGACATCTGGATTTCAACACTTACAGAGTGACTACTTCATACTGGTGGCTAGGTATCTGGATTAAGCCCTAACATAATTGTATAAATTAACATAACCTACTGTAGTGATTTATCTACCACATGTATTGAGCCACTTTTTTTTATCGAATCAAGAGTATAATTTTCTCAAGGGGACTAATTATTTTCTACAAAACACCTTTCATTCCCTCCAAATAAAAACTAAACCCCAGTTGCCATGACTAAATTTTGTTCCTAATTCCCATCAACTATCACCTGTACTCTTTTGTAATTTTTCAAAACTTGTATTAGCTAGTGAAGATATCCATTCAAAGGTCAAAATTCTGAATACAAGTCAAGGAGCAAACAAAAGAAAACTTGTTATGGTAACATATTAGTGTAGTAAAATGAAAGAAACTGTATATTTGAGGAATATATTTGTAAACAATGAAAGTTTGGAATCAATTTTAAACATGTTTTATTATCAAAAGAACTGTTATTTTGATTTATATCCATACAGTTTATATTTCTCAAAGTTACAGACAATCTAAATATCATATATCGACATGTCAAACTTGGAACAAAATTCCACCTCAGTAGTTATAAAAACTAAACTTTCCCAATTGCCAAAAGCTTGGCTGAGGACTGAACTTATCAAACAATGTTTTAAACTCTGACAGATTCAAATATTCAGCAACTTATAAATAGTTGTGAGAAACCCATTAAAGGTGTTTCAAACAGGTTATTATCCAGCATATCTATAATAATTATTATATCTAGTAGTAGTAATAATTGTTAAGTATTGTTTTTTTTCTACCTGTACATGGTATTATTAGAAAGCAGATTTTTGCTTAAAAGAATCAAATTTGCAGTTATCAGTCCATGTAGGCCTAATGCAATGAGGTAGAGATCAACAAGACAACAGTAGTTTACATTTTTCTTAGCAATAATTTAACTATAAAGCAAATGAAGTAAACAATGCTACTTGGATATTAATGTATTAAGTGATCATTTGTCCATATTAACTTGTTAATGCTTTTGCTGGAAAGGTAACTTATAGTATGTTTCTAAGCTGTTATTTGCAGGAGATGCATGTAGTATTTAAAAAAATTGTTGCAGTGACTTGGAGAAATAGAGAATACTGCCCTCAATAAATATTTTCTACATCATATAAAGTTAATCAATATTTTCTTAGATTATAACTGTAAACATTAGCAATAATGACAGAACCTAACAGATATATCCATGCAATGTAATTACTAAGAACACTACACTAACTGAAATTTATTGTATATCATAATGTATTCATAAATGATTTTCATTTAATTCTACATTTTTTAAGTAGTCACTATATACTTGTACAAATATAATCTTGACTACTGATATTAATCAGTTTGCAATAAATCACTTTTAATTTAATAAGTATTTTAGTATCATTCAGTAAAGAATTTTCACTTAATGCTAGATATTTCTCTTCATTAAACATAATACATCTTCATGTTCTATATGTCTGAAGCTGGAACTGGCGTAGGAAGAAATTTATAGACATTCTTCTTCTAATTAGTACATTACTATGTGTTGTAGCTGTTCATCTGTAACTCAAATGACAAGAGAATGAATGATAAAAGATACTGAAGGAAAGTAATTTCAATATAAAACAAGAAGCAAAACCCATCAGCATGAAAAAAGTTTCTGTTGATGACACAGTAACAATTATGGATGAAAATGGTCACAAGGAGGCAAAGAAATTGAGCGAGGAAAAGTTAGGGGCACCACTTATTAGAGGTGGTAAGAAAGCAGTCGCTCCCAAGGTCCAAGTGTCTGATGAGGGAGATATTAACAACTGCAAACAACAGTAATGGATTATGTTATATGATGAATGTAAATGAAGCGACAGTAAAAGTAAATGTCTTCAGTTTGTAGATCTATTGTTTATTTTTAATGGGCAATGTAGGAGAGAAATACAGTGTTATCTTAACATTTCAAACTTTTAAGTCCCTTATCATTTTTGCTCTATAATAGATATATATTATAGAATGATGCTTAATTTTATGACATATTGCAGTTATTGATTTTATTCTAGTCTGTAGCAGTGCAATACATGATTAATATAACAGCATCATTGTTCATATGGTGTATATCCATTTGTAACAGCAGTCTACACCAGTGAAGGACATCATTAGTTCTAGTATTTAGGAATACAATTTTACAATAACTGAACTTGTCTGTACCATCTTTATAAATATACTTGCAACATATGAGATTACTAGTTAATTCCATCGCTTCAAAACACTTGTGTCAGTTAGGATGACAGAAACTTTTATGAATTTGTGATATTCTATAATGAATTGTTAAAACTTTTTGTATAAAATGATATTTGTGAACCTTATCTTAACGATACAGTCCAAAAATACCTGTCACAGATTTTTTTTGCAAAGTTGTTCATGTACTGTTATCGTAATTACACAAGATATTTAAAATTTGTTCACCTTTGTGTAAAATCTCTTTGATAGAAGTATTTTGGTAAAGTTTTTTTTATTACAACTCCATTTTTGATACAAGAATCTAGTTCAATGAAAGCGGTATAACTTAAATGGAACAGAGTCTTTAGAAAGTCTCTCTATCAGGGTTTATTATTATTAATTTCAAATTAATTTCCATTATGAAGATAATAGATTTAATAAAGTAGTTGTCAGGGTATATAAATTGAATACCCAGGATTCAAAATACTTCAAAAAACAAACAAAAAAACAGATTAAATGAAGAGAAAAACAACTAATCACTGTATATTGATGGCCTTTGCTGACACATTACAGTTTTACTGTCTATAATTGCAAAGTCAACCTGATATGACAGAATTAATCATATTAATCTCATTCATTAATGTAACCCACTCCTGTAGATGATTCATTCATTCATTCATTGAAGAGAAACAATTTCTTAATGGAAATGTATTTGTTCTAGTGATACAGACATGTAGTGATACCATAATGGAAAACTGTTGTGCTTTCCACTTATAGATTGCTACTAAAGTCTCAAGTGAACTTTAATGTTCTGTCCATAAAAAAAAATGAAACTAATAATAAATTCCAGATTATAACAACATTATGCCAATAGTCTTCTTGTTGACGTAAAATTACTGTTTCTGATTTTTTGAAATCCTTCACTACTAAGGTAGAATTATTAAAGACATAAAAATTCTTTAAAAACATTAAAACTGCAATATTCACTACTTTATATTTACTTCTATATTTATACAAAGAGCTGGTGCTTGGGACTTCCCATTTGCCAGTTACAAAATAACATTTAAACTTGTAAGTTTGATTAAACCAATAAATAAGAGGTAACTAATCTGAGCCTTTGGGCCTAAACTCTCTGTTAATCAATAACTGATTAGTGAACTGTGATTAGTTTCCTCTGCTACATGAGACTGCACACTTCCTAAGATCAGATCCATTTGTTAAAAACATAAGATGTTGTATACCAGTATAAAATGTTTAGGATTTTTGTAATCCTGTTATTGGTCAATTGTATTTCATACTTGCTTCTTCAGAATTTCTGCAGATATGTTCTATGTAAATAAAAAAAAAAATCTTAAAAGATTATGGAAGGAAAAAAATTAACATTGTCGGATTCAAGATATTAAAAAAAAAATCTATGTTATTGCATAATTATGAACCATGATAGTTGTTCGTAATAGGAATCAACCAGGTTTTGACAAAATACTAATAGAGCACACTGCAAAGACCACCTTAGAAAACAAACTTGTTCCTAAAGCATCACTCAAACTTTTCCTTTACAATACTAAAGGCCATACATGTTTAAGAAAATCCAAAAAAATAAACCATCTGATACTTAGAACAAATATAAAATCCACTAGAAGCTGCTCAGTTGTTCATGTTATTATTATTCTTTCTTTTGCCAGCCTACAGATAAAAAAAGGGCTTGGTATATTGCAACCACACCTCTTGTATAATACTAAATAAGGTACTGCAAAGGTTGTAGGTGTATTGAAAAGTTGATTTGTTTCTTCTATATTTTACATAAGCTAAAAAACATCATAATTAAAGTGTAAACAACTTTTTCATTATCCCTTGAAGTTAGCTTTC